TAACCAGAGAACGTTTTGAGCCCTGAGCAACCCGTATTTCGTGAGAAACATTCTGCGGAACATGTAAAATTACGGTCTACTATGATATTAGTACTGCTCTAATAATAGACCTAATCCTAAAATTGTGCATCTGTCATGATGTAACTGCCTAATCTATAAGATCTTACGTGGAAGTCACATCATTGTCTACACTGACTCATCGTATTGTAACAATTACCAATATATGATGGAGAACACAATCGGGCTGGGGATAGAACAATATATTTACTATGAGCAAAATATATGAGATAACATTCTACAAAGACCACACCTGGAAGGCCGAGCCATGCCATCCGATCAACTCGAATTAATTCAACTCATTGTTCTCACCTTCTCCATCGTTGAGTTTTTCTTCGCGTTAAATATTGCATATCTATTTTCCGAATTTTCTCGTGTTCAGCTTTGACGATTGTGTGGTTATGGCCTAATGCCATTGCAAACTAACTTACTAGTTATCAGAGTGGGCTGGGTAAAAGCCCGTGATAATGGTCTGTCTGTTTATTAGTTATTTCCAGATTTCACCGTGCATTTGGTGAGTTGTTTTGCCACATGGCTTGTGCATTTACAACTTAAAATAATGGATAAAACCAAATGAAAGATAAAAATCCTCTACTTCAACAGAAGGCCGGTGAAAATCAAATGTGGATAGTGGCGTGCCGCAAGGATATAACTATTATATATCTCCTCTGTTAATAAATTATCAATATCATTTAAGGCCTCAACACTTGTCTGCTGATTTTATGAAAATCTGCCGAACAATATATAACGGAACTAGTAGCCTTGATACACAAGTTTATGTAGACGAATTATTTAAGTAGTCCTACTGTTAGAGTTTAGATATTAGTTTAAGAAAAAAAGGACTAATCATTGTCTTATAAAGTGATGATCAACGGTAAACCATTGGTGGGATCAAATTTTCATATGTGCGAAACGATACATAAGTGGGTGTGATTCATGACCACGAAATAACTCTACACTTCGGCTCATCGAAGATCAAAGGTTATAGAATATTGTGTTACTTTGTAGAGCCTTTGCATGTGTTGACAAAGATATTTTTGTGACATTATGTCACATATATAAGAAATCAAGCAGCTTGACAATGTTTTATTAAGAAAGCTGACATATCTAAGCATGTTTGGTGAGCGTGTTCTGCGCTAGACTTGCTGAGCCTCTCACAAAATGTGAGATTAAAATGCTCATATGTTTTCGTCTTATTACAGAATACATGGTAACCATTCACCATTACTCATACAATAAATGATCGTTTGGGCGTTATTATTTGTAAGATGACGAAAAAGTTTCAGCATCACGTTCGACAAAACGCCTCATAAGATTCTACATTTCACACCGAGTGGTCAACGTTAGAAACACCATGGCAAAAATCTCTTAAGGAGCCGGATCTGTACTGAGAAATATAAAAAATGATGTAACACATGTCGATCGACCTACTATCCTTATGACTGATGTCCGACACACGTGGTGTCACTTCACAATGGTACTCTGTTACCAATACAGCATTGTGTTTGGAGTATACTTCCAGAGCTTTAGGTATCTTAACCACTGAAATATTCAAAAAGCTTCTGAAACCTAGATAAGCATCTGTAATGGTAAATATGTCCCCAAAATCTATAGATCTCTAAGTCTTCGACATTAATGCTGACCTTATTAGTTTTAATAGACTCATCTAGCTGAGGGGTCTTGGTCACGAATCCACACCAGATCACGAGTGGGTACGTCGTGGTACATATCTCATACAACCACTAGCCAGCTCAGATTGGTCACTTCTCAATATATCAATATTCTATTAAAAATATCTTCGAATCTCTTCGCTTCTGACTTCTGATTTCACTGTATTGGCACGTTTAGATTATAAAAGGTGTTACTGATTAAGATGTTGTCAAACTTCGGATACTTGTGGCATCCTTACGTCTATTCAGTAGCACAGAAACCGTTCACTCATACCAGCCTAAAAATGAGCAAGCAAACGACCGAATATATATATATATATATATATATATATATATATATATATATATTACTGCCGGGGGATATAGTCACAAAGCATTACATCCATCATGGCTACTTTCATCTGAACAGATCTTTTGTACAACCCATTACTAAACTTTACCTAGGGGAATGCTACTTTATGATATAATATGAATTAAGTATACGAAAAATTTGTGGGAACTCTTGGGTGTTTGAAACCCGTGAGTTATAGAATTTCATACCGCAAGATACAATGATAGTAACTTCTGGTGAGTTTTTTAAGTGACAGTTAATGTTTAACTTTAACGAACAATCTCCATATATATATATATATATATATATATATATATATATATATATATATATATATATATATATATAATTGTACAGCTTGATAATAAATTCGTTGTAAAGTTTAATGTTTGCCAAGTTATTTTGCGTATAATTTGTCTAAACTGTCTAGTTATGTGGAAGGATGAACCCAAGTAACCAATAAAGGGGGAATAAAGGCGAGAAAGGGAAATAAAGAGGATGAAAGCGTAAATAAAGGCGAAAAAGCGACATTTCGCCTTTACGTCGGTTATTTAGGTGAAAAGTAGACAATTTAGCGAAAAAGCGACTCACTATGAGGATGATGTTGCGAACCTCCATCATATGCCACCCTTAGGTAAAAGTGACCACGCAGTTTTAACTTTCGACTTCCATATAACTGCCAGTCATGAGGACGCGTCAGTCCAGTCCAGACCCAATATCTGGAAAGCAAACATACCAGACATCATGCACTCAGCATCGTTAATGGATTGGACAATAGATACAGAGTCCTCCATTGAAACGGCCTGGGACGCATTTCGAAATTTATGCTTAAACGTTACCACACCTCACATCCCTTGGACTATACCAAAGGGGCCAAAAAACTCACCACCATGGTTCAGTAGGGAGTTCCGTATCCTTCTCCGTAAGAAAACGAAAATGTGGGATAGATTTAGGTTACTGGGGACTGATGAGTCAAAATCTCAGTATCTAAAAGCTCGCAACACTTGTGCCTCGACCCTCCGTAAGTCTAGAAAATTGTACGAAGAAAAACTTGTTAAGAAATCCATAGAATGTCCTAAACGCTTGTATTCCTATATAAACCAAAGGACAAAAAGAAGAAACATTCCTGCACTATGGGGAGACAGTACTGCCGCATCATTGGTGGAGGACGACTTTGGTAAGGATCAAGTGTTCTCGAACTACTTTAGCAACGTGCATACCATAGAAGCGCCCTTCTCGTCAGAGTATACAGATTCCCCCATACATACACTGGATAGCGTGACCATTAAAGAACTCTATGTCTTTGGTCTGCTAAATAAGCTTGACATAGGTAAATCCACGGGGCCCGATGAATTACATCCTAGGCTACTGAAGGAATTATTTAACTTCGTTGCAAGCCCTTTATTTACATGCTATAACCTGTCCGTTACGCAGGGTCGCTTACCGACAGATTGGAAAAACGCCATAGTAAGTCCTGTCTTCAAAACAGGCACGAAACACAAACCTGAGAACTACCGCCCCATTAGCCTAACTAGTGTGGTTGTTAAAATATTAGAGAAGATTATTCGGAAGGAGCTGTTTAAGTATCTCGATAAAAACCGGATCCTCTCGGAGAAGCAGCACGGCTTCAGAATAGGTTATTCTTGTATCACTAACTAATTAGTGGCTCGTGAAAGCTGGTGTGCTCTTAAGGACCAAAAGCTACCTGTAGACGTCGCCTTCATTGATTTCAGCAAAGCTTTTGATAAAGTTCCGCACAACCGGCTGTTATATAAGTTAAGACATGTCGGGATTGGAGGCAATTTATTGATGTGGATAAAAAACTTCTTAGTTGGGAGTCAACAAAGAGTACGGGTGAACTCAAAGTTATCTAGCTGGGAGACTGTGTTTAGTGGAGTGCCCCAGGGTACAGTTTTGGGGTCAGTGCTATTCCTCTTGTATGTAAATGACCTTCCTCGTCTCCTATCATCATCGGTCTTGCTATATGCTGACGATGTCAAGATATGGAGAACGATACGATGTAAGGGTGATAGCTTAGAACTTCAAAATGACCTGAAGAAGTTATCTGAATGGTCTCAAACATGGCAGTTGCCGATAAATACTTCCAAGTGTGTTGTGATGCATATCGGTCACCAAGGCACAGATACATACACGATGAATAACACTGAGCTACCTGTCGTCCAGACATATAGTGACTTAAGAGTTATCGTTAGTCAAGACTTAAAGACGATTGCACACTCTCGTGCAATAGCCGCCAAAAGTTTTAGAACGTTATGGTCAATACGTAGGGCTATTAGTCATGTCGATGCTAAGACGTTTTTGACTTTGTATACAGTGTTCGTTCGTCCTAAACTTGAGTACTGCATACAAGCGGCTAGCCCCTGCTTAAAAAAGACAGTGAGCTTCTGGAAAAGGTTCAGAGAACGGCGACTTAGCTGATTCCCGGAATAGCGAAGCTTCCGTAAGAATCTCGACTGGCCAAGCTGAACCTTTTCCCGTTGTCATATCGCAGAACTAGAGGTGATTGATTACAGTTTTCAAATTGCTTAGTGGTAAATTTGCACCTAACATGCTCTCATTTTTCTTGTCTTCCAAAACAGAGAATTTACGAGGACACTCCAAAAAAAGTTCACAAGCCGAGAACAAATTACTTGTCAGCTGACTATCGACTTTCCCATCGAATCATCAACGAGTGGAATTCACTACTTCCGCACGTGGTTGAGGCTCCATCCGTCGACTCTTTCAAAAGAAAGTTGGATCAACTGAGATACCACCATTGCCAGGACTAACATAGGCCATCGAGCCTCCTGTCCTTCCCAAACTGAAATTGAAACTGAAACAATCAAGGTCGCGAGGGTGGATTTGACTTTGGTCTTACTCTTGGTCCGTCCATCAGGTTAGAGATCGGAAGACAGTCACCGAATTTGGTGTTGCAGCTGCGAATGTCAGCTCAAGACCAGCCAGCTTTCGTTGTTCTTGACACCAAGTTTGTCCATTAGTTTAATATGCAATAACACACTTAAGTCAAGGCACTATAACTATTGAACTTTATTGGAAGCATGCCCCAAAGACATGTCTTAATTTTGCTGAGTTAGCAAGGCGTGGGTACTACAATAATGTTGCTTTTCATCGTGTTATTCGAGATTTCATGATACAAGGTGGCGACCCAACAGGTACTGGTCGAGGTGGAGCATCAATATATGGCTCTTACTTCGCGGATGAAATTCACCCTGACCTAAAACACACAGGTAAGTCATTTGAAAAGTTAAATAATCTGGATCCAGGTGCTGGAGTTGTTTCAATGGCGAACGCCGGTCCAAATACAAATGGCAGTCAGTTTTTTATAACTTTGGCTCCTACACAGTGGTTAGATGGTAAACATACTATTTTTGGACGTGTTGCTTCCGGTATGAAAGTTGTTCAGCGCCTCGGTAGAAGTTTTTCCTTTCATTCTTATTGTTTGTAGGTATGGTCGATGTTGATCAAGCAGAAAGACCCCGTGAAGTTATCAAGATAATCCGTGCGAACACAACGAATACTGTATAAATTACCTTAAGTTACCTAAAGTTCTGTAACGGTTTTTTGCATAAATTTCTGCTTGTCTGAAACTGTACAATCTGAGATCTATGTGTTGACCTGTAGAAGAGTGAGATCTATATGGCTTTCACAGAAATTGTAGTGTATATCATCTCTTATAGTATCTGCTGCTCCACAAATGTCGTTTTGACTTAAGTCTGAAAATTTATTCTGAACATTTGATGATAGTTATGCTTGAGTCTGTATCATTCCGCTAGATTGGTAACCTCGTTATCAGCTATCTCATTTCTGAGCCTACTAATCCTTGTGAATTGTAAAATGTTTAGTGGGTGCATTTTCTGGTTGTCTTGTGCAGTACTCACAACCGATAACTTGGAGACAGCCCGAATCCTGCCCCAATGGCACTTATTCTACTTCTGTCCCCTACTCTTCATTATTCAATTGTATTGCTTTTGGTTAGATTTTCATTGCAATTAAAACTAGCTTCATCTATCATCATGCTAATATGTAGTGTGGCAACGTAGAGCGAATACATGCCACAAACTTGTTAAACTACCTAGTCTCACATAAATGAAATATTCCTATTCATGTTGTTTTCAAAATACTACCGAAGCTTACTGAACATACCAACGGGTCACTTCCTCTCACAAATTTAATTAACAAACGACAGTACTGGTGCATTAAGAAGCTAAAACGAAGCTCAGGTGGTAGAATCATAATAAAAACGGGTCGAAACCATGATTAGCTACGACAACTATGACTTAGGCAAAATAACTATAAACTCACTGAAGCACAAGTTTATTATAAAATAGCTTGGTCTGCATTATTTTGTAAAATGTGACAGCTGAGAGATGCATGGGTTGCAAATACTAGGTCATATGTATCCTTATGGCATTGTGCAACTTACAAGTTGACGATACTAGTGTCGTTGGCCAAAAAAGTTAACTAGATAAAGTTGCAAACCGTTACGGATCGATGCCTGACTGTCGCATACAATACTACCAGACATAAAGTGGCAAGAGGTTAACCGTAACTAGATGAAGCAAATATGTAACCCGGCAACTCATTTATATTTGTTAGTTGATGCAATTAATCCATCGATGTTTTGAATTGCATACATTAGGGAAGTTATTGATTAATTAGTTTCAACAACAACCGTTTCGCTGTATTAAGATCTTACTTCTGATCAGCTATGCTAATAGCATATGGTTCAGCGTAGTTTTTAAACCAACAGTGGATATAATTGGTGTATGCACATGTTTCCACCCTCATTTTCATCCTTGCACCGAGCAATATCGGTCCTTGTTTAGATACACAATATCGAGCAACTGGTCATTTACCCGTACTTACAACAAATCCTCAGTTCCCCTCAAGCTACATCTAAGGTAGTGGACCTTAGGAGGCACTTAAAATAATAGTACTGTGTGATATTGGCAATCTCATGCGGTGACTCCAAATTAGTTTAAGGTTCGCTGATACCAGTTTCACAATTTGTGCTACTGTATTCTCTAATCTATCTGGTGCTTTATGGACTCTGCCGTTGTTAGTGCAATTGTTGTCACCCATTCGTTATCATTTTAAATCCCCTAGCTGAAAGTAATTTAGAGTAGTAGCTTAAAATGATACATATAAGACGTCATACACTTGTAGATGTGTGGTTACAAAATAAACTTATTAGTCCTAGAGACTGAAAAGTAACTCAATTACAGCTAGAGTATTTGGTAGTTTACACAAACAAATCGCTACACTAAAATAATAACCCACAGACGAATGTGCCACTTTTCTCACAAGACCCGATATTAAGCGCTGTAATGTCTCGATACCTTATCCACTGGTGGTTCGGTACTGTTCTTATTAGCTAAGCTGCCTCTTCAAGAATATTTGGTTACAAATTAAATGTAGTCTAGAACATAAGCACTGTTTCCACACTTCTAATTACTCAATAAAAACTACCCAACCTTATCATTTTCTAAGGCTGGTCTCCTGTCATAATACCTTTTAAATTCAACCTGTGTTTTGGGTTCCCCTCTTATTATTATTCAGTGAGTGGTAACCACGTTTTGCCACCGATTGGCTAGTTTATCAAAGTACAAACTGCTTAGCATAAAACAAGCATCATATTATTGCCTATAATGAAATAAAAAGAAACATTTGAACACCCTGTAATTTTCAAATGCAGTGTACGTGGTTTGTTTTACATAGGGCTGAAGTTCATAGGAAAAAATTAGACATTTATAAAAGAGAAGTGAGATTAGCAAAAGCAATAACCGGAAATCATAGTGCTAAAGTGAATTATTAAGTAATATGAAGACTAGCTGTATTCCTGCCAAATAGTTCATTTCCTTTTTTTCATAGTTAGATTTCCTTGTCTTGCTTGTTCCGCAAGCTGCTTTCGACGTTCGAAGGCAGCTATTTCCTCTTCCAAAAAGCGTTTCTTTTCTTCAAGTTTCTTCTTTTCCTCAGCATGCGTTTTCTTTAAACTTTCAAATTTGGTTTGTAGCTAACAATGAATAAAGTAGAAAGCGAATCAGTTTTATACAACATATGGAATGTTTGAAACAATCCACATCCCTAGAAGCGGAAGCTGGATCAATAAATAGGGAGGTGCATCAGAGAGCTTGACGTTTTGGGAAATATTATTAAGGTGCTCATGTGTAAAAAACATTGCTGCGGTACCCAAACTTTATGGTATCCAATAAGTACGCAGGTGAACATAATAATCCTTACAAACTGGTCTTATAAGGCTGTGCGTCAATAACTCCTGCCAAATTACCTTTTAGTCATCCCACTCCACTAATAATCGGAGGACTCGACAACGTCCCGACCGTTGTTGCTACCTTGACGTGGTGGTCGGGCTTGCCTGTCGTGATAAAGCGACCGAGCTATACTGGTTAGAACAACCGTGCCAGACAGGTCGGTTGAAGAGCGGTAAGACGAAAAGCAACAAACCCAAGGTCCGAGGGCGAAGTCGTACTGCTGACTGTACAGAGGTGTGACAGCAGTAAGGCGTTTCCTTCAGACAACCAGCATGACAGCGATGCTGCCTTCTTACAAGGAGGGGTGGGATTGGAAAAGGTCGACCCTAGAAATGCACACCTCACCTTATCCCACGGATATCCGTCTCCGGCGGTAAGGTCTTAACAAGTGCGGAGCTAACACAAAAATTACTCATAAAAAGGTCGCGTGTGACCGACGTCAAGCAGTTGTCCCTTGGGCACTGCGGTTACGCTCTCAGGTCACTAAGAGCACCTCTAATCCAATTTCCTTTGATAAATAGCTCACAAAACACTATTCTTGACTTTCGCATTGGTAAACGATATAATTAAAATCCATCACAGATATCCCTGTATCACTTAACTTTTCTCTTCCGTTTACAAGAAAAGACGAAAATGGATTTAGAACGTTGGATTTTTTTTGGTGATCCGCACATTATTCATGCGAAATTCGAAACTTAACTTATTGAAAGATGACAAGAGATATGAGAGCCATAATTTCAATTATAATTCATGGTTTGTAAGAATTCTGAAAATGAAGAACTTCGTCCTCGGACTGTTTGTAATCTAGAAATGTTAGTGCCCATCGGATAAGGTGTATCACTGGTTGATGATAAAACATGTGATAGAAAACCACATATGAACGAGCAGTTTTCATTGGGAAACCGAATATTAGTTTGGTTACTGAGAAGCTATTTACACGTGAAGAGTGGGCATACGGTGATTGACAAATTACTCCAAGGACTTGTGTGGCACCACAAGTTCATCTCATGAAGTTACTAACAAACCCAAATACTATTCAACATTAGACTTATTATATCCCAGATATTAAAACCTGTAATTATGAGTTGGGTAACCTAAAATCATTCGTCACTGTCAAGTCGCTTTATGGATTTGTACCAAATGGTAGATATACATTTTCGTTAGAATGTTAAGTAACTTGCCTCACGTTCTGCCTCTTTTAAAACTTGTTCCTTTTCTTTAACACGTTGAACAAACATTTGTCTCATTTCTTCTTCCTTTTGTTGTAATTCTTTTCTTTGAAGCTCACGACGCTTTTCATAGGTTTCCTATCGTGGAAAATAAAAGTGGGTATAAATAATCAGTTTCTATGACACATGAAAAACATAAGGTGCATACGTGCACAAACTGGAACTTTCTAACTAAATAGCTTGAGTCGAAAAGTTCTATAAGTTTAAAAGTTTTGATAGTTGATTCTTATATTTGGGAATCTAATAAAAAAACAAAAGTAGACTTGTACACTAGACCATACCCATCATATGAAAATTAGTAATATTAATATTATACAACCAATTAAATCTTTGTGCTTTATAGGATTGAGCGTTAGTACAAAAAACCATAATAATGTGATTCGTGTACCTGACTTTCAAGTACTAGGTTGCATGTTCGAATCCCACTTTACCTGCATTGATTTCAATAACATTCCAGTAATCTAACAGAACCACAAACCGAAATTTCTGCTTAAAACTGAGTATATGACTCATCTAAACACATATCATAAACATAGAGACTGGCACAACAATATGTGTCGCCCCAAGTCCCCTTACCACATTAACACTGGATGTAAATAACAAAATGAAATACGAAAGAGGTTGAAATAATGTACGAGCAGTGACTAAACATCAGGAGTATGGCTTGAAAAAACAGAGTGGGAAGTTATGCATAAAGAAATACTTGAACTTAAGATCGAAAAGAAAAGAAAAACCAAATGGATTTGGATCACTATGACCGATTCTCAGTTGTCATCCAATGTCTTTAACCACTTATTACATCGCGTGGACCTCAGGAAAGTAGTTTACACCTACTAACATGACTTAGAATAACAAACAATGACTTGGTGAATTCATTTCATTTCCCGGTTTTTTCGCCAAAAGCTTTCTTTCAACCTGTTTTAACACAACCAAGCATCCCCCAATAAATGAATCAGTACTCGGTTGTGGAGTTGTACTAGATTTATTTATTCCCATCGATATTACAAATATTACTTAAAGCTTC